TTAATAAAATCACAATTTTCCATGGAAAACGAAGCGGATCAAACACCAAAAGACAGAAATTCCAATATTTTCTAGGGGGAAAATTATACCAATCAAACGCAATTAATTAGTAATTCCCCGTAAAATAATTTCTAGGCAATTCAATTCCCTGAAATTCATTTTCTTTCCACCCATTTTCCACCCTTACAATCAAACGCACCCTAACAGTTTTGGTAGTCAAATTGACGAAAATCGTCATTTTGGACTTGAGCTGTGATTTTTTTGAAGATTTGGTACTTGAAATGGTACAAATGAAAGGTTTGGACAAAATTTGCTATTAAATAATGTTTGATAGTGTGGTTGCAATTTTTCCTTTTTTTATAAGGAAATGAAAAATATTCCGGACAATAATCTTAGCATCTGTTTGACTTCTATTGTTTGATATTATAATTTTTGAAATAGTGTTGTTTTGGAGAATGTGTGGTTAAAAAATATGAATATTTTTATTTGTGTGTAATATTATTTTATTGAAAAATGTGTGATTAAAAAGAAAAAAATAAATATGTATTACAAATTAATAGGGGCCGGGGGCTTAATCTCTAATTCACTTTATAATCACTTTATTAGGTTGAATTAAAACGGAGTCTTTATTATAATATATAAATCTATGGTCAAATTGCATTACTAATCCTTGATCTATTGTTTAGTGGTAAGTTGTCCCCAACTTTTAAAAAGAAACACACCAATCCCCACTCTTTTACTATAATTAATAATTAATCCCTAATAACGATCGTTTATTAAATTATAACGTGATGCTCGCACGGCCAACTTCTCTTAACTATATTTTGCTTCCTAATTGAGGTTGGTGCTCAAAAATTTAAAACTTGACATTTTCATGAAGTCCTTGTTAACAAGTCGCATCCGTAATCCACATTTCTCTATCTCATCGACTAATTAAATTTTGATAATTCAAAATTATAGTGATGTAAATTCGAACGAGAAATGACTACGAGACAACGAGATGGAGATAATAGATATGTAGAAAAAAATCGTGTCAATGCAAATGTAGTAAGACCATTCATTAAAACATTGACACAAACTCTCGAATCACGCAAGTTGCAACGCCTCAGAAGTCTAATGGATTAGCTCACCCACTATATTTCTCTTTCTTAGCCACTCAACATCTAAGGTGTCATGTTTTTGGTGTTTGCCTTCGAGATGTCATGATTTGAGTATACTAACTTATCGCATGGGCATATGTGATTATCCCGCCCCTATGGCACATCTCCAAGTGGTAAAAGGAGAATGTGAAAAAACTCCCGTTTTGCTTGGGGTTGCAGCGTCAAGGGTTCGAATCCTGAAATATGGATTTGACCCTTGGATAAGTACAAGTGTACAAGCAGTCTTTCACCCTATACTTTTGGAGGCATAACCTACGATTTATCTCCTTCATTAAGGCTCGGGGCAGGGCAGGTGGGGGTCGCTAAGCATGCAGTTCGTCCTTTTTTTTCATATATGATTATCCCATTGAAGTATTTTCTCGAGGTCTGGACGAGTTAATGGCTTGCTATGTGACAATATGTTAGGGACCAATCATACATTTTGTCCTAAATCTAGACCCTGGAGAGAGAATTTGAAAGTGAGAGAGAGAGG